CTGGAGACCAACTGGATGTCCTATGTCTTACGCAGGAGAAGTTTATTTACCATCGATAATACAGGCCCAGGGGGATTGAAAAGTGAACATAGTATGATTTCAAAAGAGAATATAGTGTGATTTTTGAGTGTTCATGCCCCTTTTGACTATGCTTCCGGAGGAGGAGGATTATAAAGCAAGTGGTGAGACTATGAAGGCCAGTAGACACCGGTCAGACAGCAATATCCCACAATTTAGATAGTGGTATGCCAATGGTGTGCCGAGGGAAGATCATAGTGTAAATATAGCTTTTGTGAGTCAATGTTAAACTGAGATGTACGTGAAGATAAATGACTTAAATCCTCTTACAATAGCCATCTCGAGTTTGCCCTCGTGAAGTCTGAAGGGCAGAAACGCGTTGATGTGAGTTTAACTTTATCTGTCATGTGGTATTAAAGGCTTTTAATTATTTTGTACTTTTTGAGTGCCTCAGTTTTTTCAGCTTTATACATTATTATTATTATTATTATGGCATTAACCTCTACTTCTAATCAAGTGGCACGACGAGGACAAGCAACAAGTCAGATCACGTCAGGTAAACGGATTTGGAGCAGTGGAAACACCTAATTGAATAAATGGAAGAGAGATGAGTTAAATGTCATTCCGTGGGACATTCCAAGCAAAGATATGGTATTTTCATAGAGACAAAAAGGTGGTGGTGGACATGCCAATAGAAAAGTTACATGATGAACCTTTGAAATTGGTTATGGTCAATTTGTGTGCTTTAAAATAGTCTAATCTAGTTTTAAACGTTTGACTGAGACTGTGGCAAACACATATGGCACACTTCCCCGGTGACAAAGTTTTTTCTTATATTCTAGAAATACTTTCAGAAATGCTGTTCTATTATATTGACCCCTCTCCTCCAAGTTTAACGAGTTTTAAATCAGATTCCAAAGCATGAACGAACACAACTTAAGCAACACAAGGGAACTCCACTCTCCTCAGAAGACCCTGACTCAAACTTTTACGAGAGCGTCTGACTTTCCCGCTCGGCTCAAGGAGGGGCCAACCTTGTCCACGAGCTCCATAAACCGCCGCAGATACAAAAAGGAGCGTCTCTCTCCGGATTAATGGAGCCGAGCGGGAGGAGAGCTGGAGGAGAGCTGGAATATGATTGAACGCACTCTGGTCCTACAGCCAGACATGGGGGTCGTCCCAGGCCAGACACACCCCATCTGTCAGGCTGTGGAGCTGGGAGAGGAGGGGCTTTAGTCTACCCTGAGAATACCTCTGGAGAAGGAGACTTACGCATTCCACATCTGCAACTTAGATCCATAATTACACCTAATACTTTTGAATCACAAGCAAATATGTAACTATGTCTGGTCTGCCACCTGCTGTGTCCATGGAGATGTAATTATTTTGCCCAGAATACTTTGGCACGTATGTACAATGTAGGTCTATCTACATGGAGACCAACAGGTAAGTTACAGGTTAATATTTTCCTTGGAACTTCTGCATGTATGTTTATGGCAGAATGTTCAGCACGGTACCATGGTGACAATATTTTTAGTCTATTTAGTGATTTAACACATTTTATGAGTCTGGTACCAAGAATATAGACTTTTTTTTTTTACTTTAAAGGCCCTACAATGCACAAATTGTACTCTTGTGAGCTTGTCAAGTCACACTAATCGAGACCAAGACCTGACCAAGACCACAGGGTCCTGAGACCGAGACAAGGCCGAGACAAAACCTAGACCATGGCCCATCAAGACCAAATCAAGAACATTGAGTGTCAGACCTCGAGACCGAGGCAAGATCGAGTCCAAATGCCGTCTAGTCCGAGACAAGACCGAGGCCGAAACAAGACCGAAACCATGGCCCACTGAGACCAAATTGAGACCATCTTTGTCACTTTCAACATTTATTTGCCCAGGGATTACTGGTGGGGGAAATGAGCACTGGTGGTACAACCTGGTACAATGCATCTGTCCTGTTAAGGTTAATGTAAATTGTGTGGAGTCCCTGTCTCATTAAATAAATAAGTAAATCTATATTATAGTTATTTTGGCACATATACATATCAGTGTTTTTATGAATCTATCTCCATTTTATCATTCCTCAAGTGTCCGACCTCGAGGCCGAGACAAGACCGAGTTCAAGAGCCTTCAAAATGAGACAAGATCGAGTCCAAATGCGATCAAGTTCAAGACAAGATCAAGACTTTTAAAGGCCGAAACCATGGCCCATCGAGACCAAATTGAGATCATCTTTGTCATTTTCAACATTTATTTGTATTTTACAGTTTTTCTGGCACATATTTCTATCTATGTTTTTATAAATCTATCTCAGTTTTATTACTCATCAATTGTCAAACCTTGAGACTGAGACTAGATGGAATCCAAGCACCTTCAAGACTGAGACAAGAACGAGTCCAAATACAGTCAAATCCGAGACAAGACCAAGACCTCGAGACTGAGACAAGATTGAGTTCAAGCGTGATTGAGTCTGAGAAAAGACCAAGACTTTTAAAGGCCGAGGCTGTGACAAGACCGTGACCACGGCTCACTGAGACCAAACTGAGACCATCTTTGTCACTTTCAACATTTATTTGTATTTTACAGTTATTTTGGCACATAGATATGAATGCTTTTATAAATCTATCTCCATTTTATCACTTGTCGAGTCCCATTTAGGTGTTTGATTATCTACAAAAAAAGGTGAAAGTGACTAAACTGAAAACTGTTTGCTAATAATGTAATGTAATTTGAGATTTGATATTGGTTTGAATTACATAATCAGCTGTTATTTATGTTCAGATTGTGTTGAAACAGAGTCCAACTTGAGTAACTAACTAAATAACTTGAGCTTCAGACAGAGCAGAGCCTACAGTTAGCGTCACACCCGCATTCGACGAATTTCGATGACAGCAGCTGCAAAGTATCAACAATTTGACAGACCTGACCCCATCTATCAGGTTGCATGATGGGAAAGGGGCCCTCGGTTCAGCCTGGTCTCACCTCTGGAGCAGGAGGATGGGACAGGACGGAGGACAGCTGCAGCCCACGCGGGAGTTGGAGTAATTGGATTTGAAGGCCCAGCGATCACAGAGAACGTAATAGTGAGATCAGACGCTTGGATAAAAATAACAGTCTTGTCTAGTGCCTTAATGGAAACTGCTTCAGTGAGTGATACCGAAGAGCGCTTTGTCTCAGGGTAAAGATTAGGACATGTCAAAATACTCCAAAAGTTTCTCAAAACACCAGCCGACCAAATTGAAAGTTTAACCTTCAGTGGATTTAAGGTCTGCTCAAGTTAAATCGATAAATAGAGAAGATATTTAGATTTTTATGATGTTGTCAAAGTTTAATGTTACAATAGGGAATAGCAAAATAACTCAGACCACTGGCCTAAAGTGCACAGTCAGCTCACCAAATCAATTTTGAGAAAAAACGTAATTTACAATGCAGAGGAGAGCAGAAATTCAATCTGGCGAAAGGTAAGAACATTTAAACTATGAGACCATTAAAGGGCCCATATTCCAGCATGTTCTGATCTGTGTTATAATAAAGACTTGTGTTGTGTTTCATTCACATGTTTAACACATAAAACCCAGCATATTTAGGCAGAATTTTCAAACTGAAAACAGTAAACTTGATTAACAGAGCTTCAGATAGAGTAGTAGTAGTAGCTTTAGTTCATCACACCCCAACGGAAATGTTGATGATATCAGCTGCAAAGTATCAACTGTACATGTACTGAGACTAGGGATGAGCGTTCGATTTAATTATCTTAACTGATCATTATTATTACTAATATGCATAAATTAACTCAACTTTACAACATATAAACCATAACACAGAGCCACATCAGCCCGTTTGAGGTTATAATGTGTTTAACGCAGCTTTGTGCTCATTTGTTTACATTTTACAGAAACAAAACTTAAGACCACATGGCTCATTTGCAAGTGCTAGAAAAAACACCTCGTTCCTTGTGCGCTGATGCGGTTCAATTTCTGTCGGACTAAAGGACACGGCTCAGTGGAATATGAGTGTTCTCTCTGTGACAGAGGATGTTGATCATGATGATGATGATGGTGAGTCTGTTCTGTGTGTGTGTGTCACGTTGGAGATGGTCCATGTTTTCAGAGATCAGATGTGTGCAGGTTTAGTGCAGCTCTTTAATTTCATTTTATTTATGTTGGTCATTTTATTTATTTTGGCTGCCGTTGTGATAAAAAGACTGAAAAGTGTTTGTCTTTTGGACGCCTGTGCACTGAACTTTATGTTGCAGTTACTGCGTTTACATGCACCATGATGAAACCAGGATACTCAAAAAACTCGATCAAACCCGGGACACTGATGTGCTGTAAACACACTCACTGAGTGGTTCAGTGTCTCCAAGGAGGGGCCAGAGCCCAAACATGGGACTGTGAGGCCACAACTCCAGTGTTTGTGCTGTCAGACACAGCCTCGTCTTCTTACACTACGCACAGCAACCTACATTCGGTTTGTTGATTAAAAATTAACATGTTCAACGAAATTCTTAATGATCAATTATTGATTAGTCGACTAATCATGTCCATCCCTAACTGTGAATATGCAAACTTTCTTTAAAGAGAAACCCTTTAAAGTCCAGACATCTTTTTAAGTTTAAAATTACAAAATTGCTAACCACTCAGTCAGGAATTTTGATTTCTATTGCCAATTATCCATGATTAGCCATGATCTCTGTCTGCCTCCTCTCGCAGCTGAGGAACATAAGCTGCAGAGCATGAGCAGTTTTATCGCATGCATGATTCATATTTTATAATCTGACACCAGTGATATGATAAGGCCCAGCAACTGTCTGATCCAGGTTTAGTTTGATGTGGAGTGTGTGCGCAAGTGTGAATGCTTTTAAAGACAGTAATTGTATAACTTATACACTGTTGGTATATCACATATCACAAACTAACAGTTGAACTCCTAGTATAATCTGAGTGACTGGGAGTAGATAAAGCAGATAGACTGTACCTCTGTCTGTTCTGGGGCAGGGCTTTGCTGTCCACTGCAAACATCTTGGACACAAACACGATGACGGGGGAGCTGTCTTCACTCGAGCAGCGGAGAAAAACTGGGACACAAGCACAAACATGTCACTGTCATAATGTGTTTATAAAATGGACTGAGGACATGAAGTCACACAAAAACTGATTTTTTTTCATGTAAATATAATACACTGTAATGCACTATTGTTACACTATTGTACAAGGTTAAGCAAAGTGTGCACTGTGGTTGAAAAATACTTGAATACTAATATTGGACTTAGATTTCCTAACTAACTATGCACTTTAATGAAACTTGTGAGCAGAGAAAATTTACATTTTCACCTACCCCCAATTCTCTCCCACAGCTCTTTATTTGCTTGCTACTAAATGTTATTATTAAAAGAAATACAGAAAGTGCTCCAGTGTCTTTTTAAACTCCATACACCTTCACTCAAGTCATCTGGATAATTTCAGCACTAGAATGGCCAATCTCTACGAAACAAAAGCTAAAATGTGCGACTTATATATTAAATTTTTCACACTGACAGCTACAAGAGGGCGCATTAGGCTTGTGTGTCAGTATCTGCTGCTCCTATTACTCCTGTACCACTGTCAACTTGGCTCTACTGGACATGCCTCCTGCAGAAAAAGCCGCTCTCCTGCTGTAAGTAGTGAAATATGCAGCCGAAAACGGTAATTGAGAAGCAGAAAGAAAGTTTGGAGTGAGCGAGAAACTTGTGAGGAACTGGCAGAAAGTGGGGATGGAGAACACAGGAGGGTGCACCATGCAACTTTCCTGGAAGTCACTGGATGGTTTGACAAAGCCTGGACTTGAGTGAAAACCGAAACCATCCTGTTGGGATTCAGAAAGGCCGGAATAATTGTAACTGGAACTGATGCTGAGTCTGACGACAGCTACACAGAAGAGGAAGAGGCGCTCTGTTTAACTTCAGAAGTCACGGAGTTGCCATGGATCTATAATAATTTATTATAGTTCTATGGGAATTGCTCAGAAGTGACACCGATGAAGAATTCAATGGATTTAGTGATCTGGAGTGAGATGGAGAGTTTGGTAAAATTAGTTGTTCTGTTGTTTACGTTATAGTTAAACTGAAGAACTGTTCCTATGTGACATTAACAGTCTGTTGTTCTCTGTTCTATTGTTGTTACTATAACTTGCCTTTCAAGATGAAATGTCGGTTCCTGGTCTTTGATTTTATAAAATAAATTTACCCCCAAAAAGTGCAATTTATAGTTTGGTGCAACTTATAATCCGAAAAATACAGTAGACTCATGACATCACAAGGTGGAACAGAGCATTTTGAGCTTTGGAGACGTTAACACACTAATAATAAAGCGTTACTCAAACATGTGTGAATAAAACAAAACACAACTCTGGGTATGTTTTTGATGAGGTAACAACATTCATGGCTTAAAGTTCACAAAAGTCAAGTGTGTGTAATGTAGGACCTTTAAACTTCTTTTAGAACAATTCCACATTCATTTCATTAAAGTTAATATTTTATTTGACTTTATTTTTTTGGACATCTTTGGTTTGAGTTTGATTTTAAGGCTCAGATAATTCTCCCAACTCTACTCTACTCTCCCCACTTAACCCCACTTTCACATTGTCGTATCTAATAAAAAATCTATAACTCCAAATAGGATAAAAGACCATTTGTGATCATTTTTCAGATAAAATACACACTTATCCCTGATCTGTCTCTAGTGAGTGTTCAGTTCGTGTCCAGACAGCAGTGTTGAGTGGAGGAGCAGTGAGTCAGACCATCGCAGCAGCACAGGCAGTGGGTGAGATTAGATCCTCTAATGAGACGATTAGGGAGGACATGAAAGACAAGGAGACCAGAGACGTACAGTTCTACCGGGCCATAGTGAGAGACAGTTTGCACCTGTGGAGGAAACCATTTCACAAGACTACACACACACACACACACTCACGCACACACAGAGGCACGCGCGGCAAGAATGAGTTTCATAAGGCTGCGTATCTATTGAGATTTTTATGACAAGCATTACAATTTTGGTTTTAACAACAGGATTCTGTTCAAAGTTCACTTTTTGAAATGTGCCCAGAAGAATTGAGAAAATGTCAAACTAATACAAGAATCACATTTCAGAGCAGTTTTGTACAGATCTAAAATATAAGGTTAGCAGAATTTAAGCAGAATAAGACAGTAGAGGAAATTATGGTAAAAAATTGCAGCCTTTGAGATTTGCAACTTTTGTTCATTCAGATTGCAACTGAAACACACCTGAAGACAGAAGCCAGGGATTTTGTGTAACAGTGCGACTTTAATTCTGTAACGACAGAAAAACAGATACGCTGATCGAGAAACAGTTTATACTGAACTGCTCTGCTTCTGGTATATGACTAAGCAAACTAATACTAAACTAATATAATTTTGAGTCTTTTCTGCTATATGTACTGTACAAAAGAAGAACAAGTTCATACAAATAACCCTGCACGTGACATATAAATGTAATAAAAATGTATTCTTATCCATAGCCTCATCGTTTTGGTCTTAAAATTGTATTATTAATCTGCTCTACATGATCCTGTGGGGTGTTTTTTGCTATTTTGTTCATCAAAAAATATCCTATTCATAATATGGAACCTGGCTCCAAATTCCCTCCAGTAACTTTTGCATCGCGAGCTTCATTTGAGTGGCACTGATCGCTGTGGGTGACGTCACACTCGCTCAGTCCACTTTTATATACAGTCTATGGTAATGACAGTAATCGAGACTGACCATAACATTTACACTGAGCTGCGCTGCTTCTGGTTCGCCCGAGAGGTCAGTCGGCCTTAACTGCGCCATTTTCGACAACTACTGGAGGGAAATGGTAAAGCAGCTGTAACTGGATAATTAAATGTGAGTAAGCGCCACACATAAATGAATCAAAATATAGTCAGAACATTACAACACTAAAAGTTATTGAGGGGCGCATTTTTATAATGACTATGTCCAGGGTGCCGTGCAATTTTGACCTGATTGCGATTCATTTTGCAGCTCTAGAGTTTCACAACAGAGACAATAAATATATTTTTGGTATTTCTGAGCGATATGACAAATCAAATTACAAGCTTTAAACCATTTCCCTCATCATCAGGTCACTCAAAACATGTATTTGTATATGATTAATTCATGCATGTTTGGGTAATCCTGTCTTGTCATAGAGGCTTGAGAGTTTAGAAAATGTCTGCTAACAACACCATAGAGAAGGTAATATTTATTCACTATGCCAAAAGATTTATAACAGAAAATATCCATAAAATAAATGTAATGTTATACAAGCAAACATGAAACAATCCTCTATCATTTCCACATGCCCCACAGCACCGAGACTGCCCTCCTCCAAGTCATTAATGACCTCCCGCTCTCCTAAGACTCTGGCAACCTCAACATCCTCATCCTTCTGGACATCACTGCCGCTTTTGACACCATCGATCGCTCCATCCTCCTCTCCCGCCTGCAAACCACCTTCAACATCACTGACAGCGCCCTCTCCTGGTTCACCTCATACCTCACCGACAGACACCAATTCATCCATGTCAACCACTGCAAGTCCCCCTCTGCCCCACTTACTCAAGGAGTTCCCCAAGGTTCAGTTTTCGGCCCCCTCCTCTTCATCCTCTACATCCATCCGCCACCACAGCCTCCAGTTCCATTGTTTCGCTGACGACATCCAACTCTACCTGTCCACCAAAACCATAACCTCGCCCACACATTCCATCTTCAAACCTGCATCTCTGAAATAAAGTCCTTGCTACAGTCAAACTTCCTCCAACTCAACTGTGACAAAACAGAAATAATCATTATCGGCCCCAAAACACCCACCAGAACTCACAATAACTTCACCCTCTCCATTGATGGCTCCTCAGTCCTCTCCTCCTCCCACCTCCGTAACCTCGGCATCCTCCTTGACCAGACCCTTTCCTCTGAACACCACGTCAAACACATCACCGAAACCGCCTTCTATCACCTCCGGAACATTGCTCGCCTCCGCTCATCCCTCTCCCCTCAGTCTGCTGAAACCCTCATCCGCGCTTTTGTCACCTCCCGCCTCGACTACTGCAATAGCTGCTCTACGGTTCACCCTCCAAACTCCTCAACACACTCCAGTACATACAGAACTCTGCTGCCCGCCTCCTCACTCGCACCTCCTCCCGTGAACACGTCACCCCTGTCCTCTGAGATCTCCACTGGCTCCCGATCCCCCAGCGCATCCAGTTCAAACTCCTCACCATTGTGTACAAGTCCTTCCACAACCTGGCCCCCACGTGCCTCTCTGAGCTCCTCCACCACCACACTCCCACCCGCGCCCTCCTCATGTTTAAAAAAGCCCTGAAAACCCAACTATTCAACTAAAACTGAACTAAAATTAACAAAAAACATTCATTCGTCTTTTTCTCTTGTTTGTCGTTGTTTGTCTTCTCATGTAAAGCGTCTTTGGGTATCTTGAAAAGCGCTATACAAGTGTTATGTATTATTATTATTATTATTATTATTATTATTACATATAGAACAACCACAAAAATGAAAACTCCAAAAGCTACCTTTAACCCTCTCAGGCTCAAATTAATTTTTAGTATCAGGAAAAATCTGATATTTGGGGAAAATTATCATATGGGGTAGTAATATACAATCCTGACTTTTTTATCCTTTGTAAACAAAAGAAGTATTTTGCACTTCTGGCAGGCCGTTTGCACGTAGCCATTCTTGCACAGTCTGCATCGTTCACGTTTATCAGCATGGAAGGGAGAAAAGGCTCCTGAGGAAAAAAATCTCATAAAATATGGATGTGGAGTAAGTAGGTAATTGGAATTTAGTTGTTGCAAATCTGCAACGCCTGCCTGGAGAGGGTTAACCCAGTAAACATAATTAAATTTATTTCCATGCTTGGTCCAGAGAAACATTTTGTAAACTTGTATATTTTGTGTTTTATGATTGTGCATACCTATACTCTGAAGCAACAAATTAAGGAGTAAATCTCATATATGCAGACACCACCCATAGGAGACTTTATTAGGAGACTGTATTAGATAAAGTGTAATGTATGGCACACCTTCGCAGGCTCATGCTACATCAGCGCGGAGGGTTAAGTGCACCAGACTGGAGCAGGAAGCAGCAATCTGATTAAACTGTGGCCTGTGTTACGTGAATGAACCAACACAACCGTTAAGTCATGGAGCTAATACGGAGAACATGATACCACTGCCCCGCTCCTCCCATCATCTGTCCTAATAATAACCCAGAGCACCCGTGTTGTGTTAATGGGCTGTTCTGCTGACTCACAGACAAAGTGGGCCAAAAAAAGTGAAGAGATCGGTTGTAAATACGTGAATTAATGGTGAGCTGTGTAACACTTCTGGTAGCCTGTCACCATAGGGATGTTATTCTTATGTTATTATGGAAGCAATTAGGTTAAGTAACAGGTCAGATCTGTGGAGAGATGACCCCGCTTTCAGTAAGAATCCACGTTTTTCTAGGGCTGCTCAATTATGGAACAAATCATGATCACAATTATTTTGGTCAATATTGAAATCACGATTATTCAAACGATTATTTTTTAGTTACACGATTAATTTATTCAGCATTTCTCTCTCTCTCTCAAAAGAAAAAAAAACACTTTGTCACTGATAATTTACGCAAAATCTTCAAATTTAAAATAAATATAGGCTGCAAATATGGACCTTAGAGCAGTAGGTGGTGGACAATCCGTGTATCATTCATAAATAAAAATAAAATAAAAAATAAGAAAAAATAAATACTTTTTTTTTTCATTATTTGTCTCCAAAACCAAGTTGAAAAAATGGATAACAATTGACTTAAACTGCGACAATTGACTTAAATTGTGATGCCGGACTTTTGCACTGCATACAGACCGAACCAGGACTGAACCAGGACTAAACCAGGTCTCAACCAGGACTAAACCGCTCTCAGTCCTGGTCTCAGTACCGGTGTGGTCCCCGTCTTAGTCCTGGTCTCAGTCCCGGTCTGGTCCCCGTCTTAGTCCTGGTCTCAGTCCCGGTCTGGTCCCGGTCTTAGTCCTGGTCTCAGTCCCGGTCTGGTCCCGGTCTTAGTCCTGGTCTCAGTCCCGGTCTGGTCCCCGTCTGGCCCCGTCTTAGTCCTGGTCTCAGTCCCGGTCTGGTCCCGGTCTTAGTCCTGGTCTCAGTCCCGGTCTGGTCCCCGTCTGGTCCCCGGTCTTAGTCCTGGTCTCAGTCCCGGTCTGGTCCCCGTCTTAGTCCTGGTCTCAGTCCCGGTCTGGTCCCGGTCTGGTCCGGTCCCCGTCTCAGTCCTGGTCTCGGTCCTGATCACTCGACAGTCAATGCGGGCGTATCTACAGGCCAGTCCCGACACTCAGTCCTGGTTCAGTCTTATTTTAGTCCTGTTTTAGTCTTGGTTCAGTCCTGGTTCAGTCCTGTCCATATGCGGCGCAAAAGTCCGGCATCGCAGTTTGAGTCACGGAACGACCATTATCCAGTTTTTCCATTATCCGTTTAAACACAAAATCGAAAACTGAAAAAAATGAATCGTTATCCTTTTTTTTTTTTTTTTTCATTTTGGTTTTGGAGACAAATAGTGAAGAAAATAGCTGTTTTTTCGTTTTCTTATTTTGGGTTTTGTTTTGAAAAACAAATGACACACGGATTATGGACCCTCCACCATAAAAGTTCGCAAAATACACCTTTACATGAGCCGACTCTGGTTTAAGATACAGTTGGTAAAAGTCCACATAAACTCATCTAATAAACTATTCACTATTCTCTATTACAGAACCCATTTAAACCCTTTTAGCGCTGCTTGATTTGCCCCAGCGGAGTTGAGTGGTGTACCTTCTTTAAGCTCTTGAGTCTGCTCCGGTAATGAGTCAAACCTCCGCGCCCCCACACTCATCAGCTTCTCCACGCGCTCTGCAGACACCTCCAGAGGACTGGGCAGCTTCTCACACACCATGGCTGCGCACACATGTTAAGGAAAGAAACCAGCTTTGGGGCCAGACTAACAATGCAATTAAATGAGCAATAACTTCACTCCTCTGTGCATTACATCGAATAAATGTTGGGAAGTCGAGATCATTTGTTTGATAGATAGAATGTCAATTTAAAGGTTATACTCTTGTGAGCCATGTTAGAATGCTGTTACCTCATCAAAGTGGAGCATTCCTGTACTACCACATGACAACATAAGGTGGTAAAGAGTATTTAGGAGTATTTTGAGAAAAGAACACAACCTAAGTATGCAGGGGCTGTGTGTTAAACATGTGTGAATGAAACAAAACACAACTCCAGGTCTGTTTGTGATGAGGAACAACATTACAACATAAATCAGCAAATTTCGTAATATAGGCTCTTGATTAGGTACCATATTTTTCGGACTAATAGTCGCAGTTTCGGGCTACACGTTTTTTCATGGTTTGGGTGTTTCCTGGGACTTATCCTCCAATGCGACTTATATATTAAAATGTTCACACTAACAGCCGTGAGAGGGCGCTCTAGGCTTGTGTGTCAGTATCTGCTACTTCTATTACTCCTGTACCACACAATGTCTCTTGCGGAAAAAGCCTCTGTCCTGCTGCAAGTAGTGAAACATGCTGCTGAAAACAGTAACTGAGCAGCAGAAAGATAGTTTAGAGTGAGCAAGAAACTTGTGAGGGACTGGGGAAAGTGGGGATGGAGAACACAACTTCACGGCAACTGGGAGGATGCACCATGCAACTTTCCTGGAAAGACTGGACTTCAGTGACACCAAAACCATCCTGTTGGGATTCAGAAAGGCCGAAATAATTCTGACTGGAACTGATGCTGAGTCTGACGACAGTTACACAGAAGAGGAAGCGGTGCTCCGTTTACCTCCGGAGGACGTGACACCGTGGATGAAGAATTCCATGGATTTAGTGATTTGGAGTGAGATGGAGAGTTTGGTAAACTTGTTCTGCTCTGTTGTTTATGTTATAGTTATCTAAATAACTGTTCATATGTGACGTTAACAGTCTGTTGGTCTTTGTTCTATTGTTATTACTATAACTTGCCTTTCAAGATGAAATGTCTGTTCCTGGTCTCTGATTTTATAAAATAAATTTCCCCAAAAAAGTGAGACTTATATGTGTTTTTTTCTTCTTCATTACCCATTTGTTGGCTGGTGCGATTTATACTCTGGAGCAACTTATAGTCGTAATACAGTACTTCAAAAAGGGTAACACTTAATTAAGCATAAACAAATAACTAATTCATAATGAACTAATCATTTATTTTAGAAAGAATGATTCAGGCTTAGTAACTACTTAATTGACGCCATTCCTAAACCTAAGCCCTCTATTAAGTAGGTACTAGGCCTGAATCATTCTTTCTAAAATAAATGATTAGTTCATTATGAATTAGTTATTTGTTTATGCTTAATTAAAGCTAATTAACAAACAGTTATTATAAAGGATTATTATAATTAGGATGCTCAGAATGCACAAGGTAAGGATTTGAACAAGAGTCTATCCTCTGGCCATTAAATCAATGATAATTTGGACAACTTATCTATGTCTTTTTAAGTGCCTGTGGAATATTGGGGAAAGGCAGAAATAGTTTGCTTCTGTATTATTCAATTTCTATTAAATTTTAGGCGATTTACATGTTGCACATCTAGAGATGAGGGTTATTGCTTCTTAAGTACTTCCTGAAGGAGTACTAGATGTGAAACTTTGGAGTGCCAGTGATCTTTCTAAAGATGTTTTAAAGAAGACTGCTAAAAGATCCTGCAGTAGTAGTCCAATTAAAAACTATGCTGAACAGTGAAACAGCAGTACTTCATTCTTGTATAACTACATTTCAGTTACATTTTTGCCTGTAAAGTTAGAGTTGTTTTGACTTAGAGCAATATTTGATGAGAAATCTTTGAGAGACGGTGATCTTTCTAAATGCGTTTTAAAAGTACACTGCACAACATTTCTAGTGGAGGATTCGCTACTTACTAGATGATGTTATTACTGATTGTTACGGCCCCAGGCCTTAGGTCTAATTTGTTTGTGTGATTATTGCCAACTTCTCTGATTCCTGCTGTGGGAGCCCTGGTCCGTGATTGGTGGGGCAGGCCGACGTCCAACTCACCTGCAGCCACCGCCCCCTATTTAAGGAGATTACCAGCACCTGTTCGGGGCTGCTGGTCTTGGTGGCCAGTTTGCCATTTTGTTTCGTGTGTGTGTAGTTTAGTTTAGTTCTGTTTTGTGCCTTTTTTGATTTGGTCACTCGATTCTGTTTGTGGGTTTATGTGGTTTAATTTGGGGAACTTGTGTTTTAGTTTAGTGTGTGTCCCTAAGTTTTACCACTCGTTTTTGTGTAAGCCTGCGTGACCCCTTTTCTGGCACAAAACTCTGTTTATTCTGTTGTTCTGTTTCTTATTTTAGGTTGTTTTCTGTATATTTTTAGTCTTTTGTTAATTTACCTTTTACCTTCCTGTTAATTAAACATTATTTTACATCTTGGTTTTTATTTTTGTTACTTCCCTCACCCCAAACGAGCTGGGTCATAACACTGATGTTCCATGGTCTGACATTAAACATAAACATCTAGCATTTATTTATTACGGGTGTTTCTTTTGCTCAAAAACACAGAAATTCCTTCAGTGAATCTCCGCAGATCTGAATTGTAATGTAGCGTACTGTTGTAACCCGCTTGTCTCCTTTGTGATCAGATTAAACCTGTTTTTAAACCTGTTCAAACAGATATTCTAGACAAAGCAATAACATATCCAAGAAGACAAGCAGGTCTCCACAAACAGCAGCAACTCTCTACTAGAAATGTTACACAGTGCACCTTTAAGATAGACTGCTAAAAGAGCCTGCAGTTCATTACATTTTAAGTTGTACACATGTTATGCAGCTAATGTTTACACTTGTTTTGACTTTGAAGAAATACTTGATGTGAAATGTTTGAAAGCCGGTGATCTTTAAATGTGTTTTTTTACGGCAGCTGAAAGACCCCGCAGCGGCAGGAGCAACAGAAACAGTAATACTCTAGGGAAAAGCAGGTTAAGGATACAGAGCACAGCTTGGGACAAGGGTAACCACTGGCTGCAGATGGCCGACAGCAGGACTTTAGGGTCAGAGTGTCTCGTGTCCCGGGCCAAAACCTTCACCCCCAAAGATTTCACCACTTTCTCGACTTTCTCTTTGTCTCTGGAACAGAAAAGGAACAAACAAGAGGACAAACAGTGAGAATTTAAAGGGCCTATAATAGATCTAGGGCCTATAGACTCTGCACACCTGACGGGGCGACTTGTTGTGTTGGAGAGGCACACTCTATCACTCCTGGTTTTCTTTTATTGATACGCCGTTTCAGTCCCGCAGACCTTCCTCAGGTACAGGAGGGACCAAAACCTCGTATCAGTAAAAGAAAACCAGGAGTGAGACAGTGTGCTAAGGGCCTACACTACCAGTCAAAAGTTTTAGAACACCCTAATTTTTCCAGTTATTTATTGCAATTCAAGTTGTGCAAGTCCAATGAGGAGCTTGAACTGGTACAAAGGTAAGAACTGAACAGACAGAGGTTAAAAAAAAAAGATAAAAGATAACAAAACACAAGTCCAAGCTCTGCCAAAACTACCTCAAGAAAAAAGAACAAGATGGTAAAGCTTGAAAACATGGAGTGTCCAGCACAGTGTCCAGACTTAAACCCCATCGAGCTGGTTTGGGATGAACTGGACAGAAGAGTGAAAGTCAAACAAACTACAAGTGCCACACATTTATGGAAACTTCTGCTGCAGACTTGGGAAGAACTTTCTGAAGAATATTTGATTTCTATTGTCAAAAGAACGAGCCACGAGTGTGTTCAGCTGTTATATCTGCCAAAGGTGGACACTTTCATGAATCAAAAGTTTAGAATACGTTTTGGTCTACAGTAAACAATAAAAAAAAAAAATGGAAAAAGTGTGGTGTTCTAAAACTTTTGACCGGTAGTGTATAATAAGCAAAATTTACTATTGTGAGTTGCCCTCCCCTGTTATAATGTAATATAACCACTTTAAAAACATATCTAGAGTTGTGTTTTGTTTCATTCACAGATGTTGGAGTGACTCTTTACTACGACTCCGTCTACATCTCCAAAGCTCAAAATGCTCCGTTCCACCTTATGATGCTATGAAGTGGTTTACCTTTAATCTACTGGTAAAATAGAAGGGATGTAACAATATCCAAATCTCTCAATACGATATTATCACGATGTGCATCATACTGGTCAATATATGACAGCTGGAACTATATACTTTGGGCTCAGTATTTATCGTGTGTACATTTTCTTTGCAAACGTTGTGAGATTTTTGCCGTTTTTATGCAATAATGTAAGACTTGAGCTGTAGAGAGTAGAATAAACAACTTCTATGGCTAAATATGAGGGATGTAGCAATAAGGGAAATATCGTGATTTCGTATCGTCAAAAGTCTCTCAATAATACCGTGGGATGTCACAATATATCGAATCACAAGTTCCTCTGCTTTAATGCCTTGTCTTACAGTAGCAACAGCTTATGAACATCTGGAACTACATTTCCCATGATTCAGTTCAGTGCAAACAACATGAAGAAATGTTTTTTACTTGAATTTTTGGGATTATGATGGAAATAAATCATACCAAAATCTTGTCAAGGTATTTTAAAAGCATAAAGTGTTCTATCTACAATTATATCAGCCTCTTTAAAAAAAGTAAATATCGTACCGTGAGATGCATATCGTGATAACATTGTACCGAAAGATTTGGATATCGTTACATCTTTACTAAATATTGATTCATTCTTTGTTTATTTGTTTCAGCTCATGCCGTACAATGATACTATTTTAAAGTTATTTTACCAAGATTATCCTGCTTTGAGTCAGTGGTAGTATTTTCTAGGGATGTAACGATATCCAAATCTCTCGGTACGATATTTATTGCGATATTTTGGAGAGGCTGATATAATTGTAGATAGGACACTTTTGTTTTTTTTGCTTTTAAAATATCTTTGCTGTGAATAATTTCCATCATAATCCCAAGAATTCAAGTAGAAAATATATTTCTTCATGTTGTCTGCGCTGAAATGAATCATGGGATATGTAGTTTCCGATGTTTATAAGATGTTTCAACTATAAAACCATGCATTTAAAGGTTGTATAGAGGATTTTCCAAGGAACGAGAAATCCAGCGACTGTTTGTCCTTTTTCAAATGTTGCGCATGCGTGAAACCACCCCCCCTCCCCTACAGCTCCTACGTAGAAACGCCTCCTCCCGCCTCCTCTTTACGCCAGAAACAGGTTTGTTTACAGCCGGTGCGCTGCACATGACTTGTAAACAACTAACTACAGTGTTGGTTAGGCAAGACGGAGAAGTGAGGAGCGGGGGAGCGGGTGTGCGGACATTTCGTTCGCGGACGAGAAGAGCAGGAGCAGGGAGCAGGGAGAGAGGAGAGAGGAGAGAGGGGAGCGGTGCGCGGAGATTCCGTGCCCGGAGAAGTGAGGAGCAGGGGGAAGAGCGGAACGGGCAGCGGGGACAGGAGCAGGAAAGGGGTGCAGAGAAGGTTGCGCGGAGATTCAGTGCGAATGAACTAGCTACAACACGCAGCAGCAAGCGGACTCTTTCTTTGCCTTGAAAATTACGTTTTCAGACATAGGATATCGCTTTCGTGTCCTGAAAAACGTTTGTCTCGCTCTTGGAAATAAAGTACGTTTTCATAATAAGCAGAAGTGACCTGTCCAGGAGTAACTTGGCGACCAATGCTTCAGTCTTTAGACCCTGCGTCTGCTTCTGTCGCGCCATCGCTGGAATGAATCTTCAAGAATCACCTTAGTTTGGCTTCGCTGCTTTTCCCCTTGTCTTCTTCTTTCAGCGACCTCAAAAACGGACTTTTCTTTTGCGGCTAACGGCTCCTGGATTCTTGTCGCTATTGCAACAAACTTTGTGCTAACTGCGAGGAAGATATAGGTCAAAAAAAGCCGCTAAGAACTGTTGCGTTGGTGGAGTAAACAGCGTCTGTGCGTCTAGCGTCTGTGGACTGCGTGACAGTCGTACGTAAACCACGTACCGGCGGCGCGCAGGCAAGTCAGTTACACTAGAAACGTAGGGAGATTGATTGACAGCCTGTCAGCTAACAGATAACGAGGCAGTGTCGTTATCTATTGGCAAATGTTTAGCCCCACCACGTCCAGAGTTGATGAATTTTTATTCTCTTTTTTTTTGGTCATCATAATTACAAGGCTACTGCACCTCTATAATGCTATCATTGACAATTTGAAACAAAAACAAAAAATCCTCCATACAACCTTTAAGTAAAGGAACTTGTAATTCAATATATTGTGAGACTTTTGACAATACAATAGCACAATACTTCGGTTATTGTTACATTCCTAGAAAATAGTGTAATATGAACATTTAAAAGCAACAAAAAAAAAGTAGAGTCCCTTGTGGTTTCGTCTACAGCTTCATAAACCGATAAAAGCTATGGATACTGTAAAGTTATTTATTGGTTATGAAGAAGTGGTAAATATATTGCTGAGTGTAAACAGAGTGCTCCTGTGTGTAAACAACAGAAAGGTCATGCTGTTGTGGACGTCTGATAAAATGGTCTTTAACAGAGGTGCTGCATCATGAAGCATTAACCTGTAAAGGTCAAAGACACTCACCTGTTGGTTACCACGGCGTCGTATAAACTCCAAATGTTATCGAGCACGAGCTGCACGAACAGCGGCTTCTTCCCTTTGACCTACGGGGGGGAGAGAGAGAGAGGGAGGGAGGGAAGGAGATGGGGGGAAGAGGGAGAAAGAAGAGGGAGAGAGAGTGAGAAAGTGAGAGAAAGAGACGAGGGAGAGAGGGAGCGAAAGTGTGAGAGTAAAGAAAGAGATGGAGAGATGGAGAAAGGGGCAGAGAGAGGACAGGAGAGAGGGAGGGAGGTAAAGAAAAGGACAGAGCAGAGAGAGAGAAGAGGAAGAGAAGAGGGAGGGAGGAGAGAGAGGACAGGAGAGAGGAAGAAAGAGATTGAGAAGAAGGAGTGAGGGCCGGGGGAGGTAAAGAAAAGGAGAGAGAGGGGGAAAGAGAAAAGGAGAGAGAAGAGAAGAGAGAGAGAGAAAGAGATGGAGAAAGGGGCAGAGAGAGGACAGGAGAGAGGGAGAAAGAGATTGAGAAGAAGGGGAGAGGGCGGGGGAGGTAAAGAAAAGGAGAGAGAGGGGGAAAGAGAAAAGGAGAGAGCAGAGAGAGAGAAGAGGAAGAGAAGAGGGAGGGAGAGAGAGAGGAAGAAAGAGATGGATACATGAAGAAAGGGGGAGAGAGGACAGGAGAGACAGAGAAAGAGATTGAGAAGAAGGGGAGAGAGAGGAAGGGAAGTAAAGGGAGAAGAGAAAAAGAGAAAAGGAGAGAGAAGAGAGAGAGAAGAGGAAGAGAAGAGAGAGAGAGAGAGAGATGGATGGATAGATGAAGAAAGGGGGAGAGAGAGGACAGGAGAGACAGAGAAAGAGATTGAGAAGAAGGGGAGAGAGAGGAAGGGAGGTAAAGAAAAGGAGAGAGGCAAAAAGAGAAAAGGAGAGAGAAGAGAGAGAGAAGAGGAAGAGAAGAGAGAGAGAGAGAGATGGATGGATAGATGAAGAAAGGGGGAGAGAGGACAGGAGAGAGGGAGGGAGGTGAAGAAAAGGAGAGAGAGGGGGAAAGAGAAAAGGAGAGAGCAGAGAGAGAGAAGAGAAGAGGAGAGAGAGGAAGAAAGAGAGGAGAAGAAAAGGGGAGAGAGAAGAAGAAGGGAGAAAGAGATTGAGAAGAAGGAGAGAGAGAGGGGGGAGGAAAGAAAAGAGAGGAGGGGGAAAGAGAAAAGAGAGAGAGAGAGAAGAAAGAGAGAGAGAGAGGGAGAGAGGGAGAGAGAAGAGAGAGAGAAAGAGAGGAGAGAGAGAGAGAGAGAAGAGAGAGAAGAGAGGGAGAGAGAGAGAGAAAGAGATGGATACATGGAGAAAGGGGAGAGAGGACAGGAGAGAAGAAAGATGAGAAGAAGGGGAAGAGAGGAAGGGAGGTAAAGAAAAGAGAGGGAAAGAGAAAAGGAAAGAAGAAGAGAGAGAGAGGAAGAGAAGAGAGAGAGAAGAGATGGATGGATGATGAAGAAAGGGGGAGAGAGAGGAGAGAGAGGGAGGTGAGAAGGAGAGAGAGGGGAAGAGAAAGGAGAGAGAGGAAGAGAAGAGGGAGAGAGAGAGAAGAAAGAGAGAAGAGAGATGGAGAAGGGAGAGAAGGACAGGAGAGAGGGAGAAAGAGATTGAGAGAAGGAGAGAGAGAGGGAGGGAGGTAAAGAAAAGAGAAGAGGGAAAGAGAAAAGGAGAGCAGAGAGAGAGAAGAGGAGAGAAGAGGAGGAGAGGAGAGAGAGATGAGACAGGAGAGAGGGGGAAAGAGAAAAGGAGAGAGCAGAGAGAGAGAGAAGAGAGAAGAGAGAGAGAGAGAGAAAGAGATGGATACATGAAGAAAGGGGGAGAGAGAGGACAGGAGAGACAGAGAAAGAGATTGAGAAGAAGGGGAGAGAGAGGAAGGGAGGTAAAGAAAAGGAGAGAGGCAAAAAGAGAAAAGGAGAGAGAAGAGAGAGAGAAGAGGAAGAGAAGAGAGAGAGAGAAGATGGATGGATAGATGAAGAAAGGGGGAGAGAGGACAGGAGAGAGGGAGGGAGGTGAAGAAAAGGAGAGAGAGGGGGAAAGAGAAAAGGAGAGACAGAGAGAGAGAGAAGAGAGAGAAAGAGATGGATACATGGAGAAAGGGGGAGAGAGAGGACAGGAGAGAGAGAGAAAGAGATTGAGAAGAAGGGGAGAGAGAGGGAGGGAGGTAAAGAAAAGGAGAGAGAGGCAAAAAGAGAAAAGGAGAGACAGAGAGAGAGAGCGAGAGGGAGAAAGGGAAAGAGAGAAAGAGGAGAAAAAAGTATAGAAGACAGGGAGAGAGTGATTAAGAAGAATCGGAGAGAGAGGGAGGGAAGTAAAGAAAAGGCGAGAGAGAGGGAGAGAGAGAAAAGGAGAGAGAGGGGGTGGAAGAGATGGAGAAAGAGAGAGAAAGAGATGCAAAGAGAGAGAAAGATGGGGAGAAAAGAAAGACGGGGAGAGTGACAGAAAGGGATGTCAAGAGAGAAAGGGATGGAGAAGGAGGGCAGAAGCAGGGAACGACAAAAGGAAAAAGAGAGGGAGCGAGAAAAGAAGAGACAGAAGGAAAGAGTGAGAAAGTGTAGAGCAGAGAAGAGAGTGAGAGAGAAGAGAGGGGAGAGACAGTGAGAGTGAGAAAAAAGGACAGGAGGGAGAGATTGAGATGAAGGGAAGAGAGAGGGAGAAACAGTGAGAGATGGAGAAAGGGAGAGAGGACAGGAGAGAGGGAGAGAGAGAGAGATCGAGAAGAAGAGGAGAGAGAGGGAGGGAGGTAAAGAAAAGGAGACAAAGAGAGGGAGAGAGAAAAGAAGGGGAGATGGAGAGAGCAAAGAAAGGGAGGGAGGGAGAAAGAAAGAAGGGATAGAAAGGAAGATGGAAAGAGTGGAGGAGAGAGGGTGAGAGAGAGAGATGGAGAAATGGTGAGAAAGAGAAGAAAAAAGTACAGAAGAGAGAGCACCATTTAGAAGAAGGGGAGTGAAACGGAGGGAGGTAAAGAAAAAGAGAGAGACATGGGGGAGAGAGAAAAGGAGAGAGAGGGAGTAGAAGAGATGGAGAAGGAGACACAGAGGGAGAAAGAGAAGCAAAGTGAGAGATGGAGTGTGAGAGAGAGAAAGAAAGAGAGAAACAGAGAGGGAAAGAGACAGAAAGAGACATCGAGAGAGAAGGAGGGCGGAGGCAGGTAAAAAGAACATGATAAAGGCGAGGGAGAGAGAAAAGAAGAGAGAAAAGGAGAGAGTGAGAAAGTGTAGAGCAGAGAAGAGAGTGAGACAGCAGGGAGAGGGAGAGAGAAAGAAACAAAGAAAGAAAGAAGGGAGAGAGAGGGAGAGGGAAAGAGAGGAAGGGGAAGGAGAAGAAGAAAAAGTAGGTGAGACAGAGAAGCGAGAGAAGGATAGAGGGAGAGAGTGGAAGGAGGAGAGTAAAGTTAACAAACACAAACAATTCAGAACAGAAATGTATTAAAGGTTGTATAGAGGATTTTCCAAGGAACGAGAAATCCAGCGACTGTTTGTCCTTTTTCAAATGTTGCGCATGCGTGAAACCACCCCCCCTCCCCTACAGCTCCTACGTAGAAACACCTCCTCCCTCCCTCCTTACGCCAGAAACAGGTTTGTTTACAGCCGGTGAGCTGCACATGACTTGTAAACAACTAACTACAGTGTTGGTTAGCAAGCGGAGAAGTGAAGGAGCGGGGGGAGCGGACACAGCGGACGAGAAGTGAGGAGCAGAGGAGAGAGGAGAGGAGAGAGGAGAGGGAGCGGTGCGCGGAGATTCCGTGCCCGGAGAAGTGAGGAGCAGGGGGAAGAGCGGATCGGGCAGCGGGGACAGGAGCAGGAAAGGGGAGCAGAGAAGGTTGCGCGGAGATTCCAGTGCGAATGAACTAGCTACAACACGCAGCAGCAAGCGGACTCTTTCTTTGCCTTGAAAATTACGTTTTCAGACATAGGATATCGCTTTCGTGTCCTGAAAAACGTTTGTCTAGCTCTTGGAAATAAAGTACGTTTTCATAATAAGCAGAAGTGACCTGTCCAGGAGTAATTTGGCGACCAGTGCGTCAGTCTTTAGACCCTGCGTCTGCTTCAGTCGCGCCATCGCTGGAATGAATCTTCAAGAATCACCTTAGTTTGGCTTCGCTGCTTTTCCCCTTGTCTTCTTCTTTCAGCGACCTCAAAAACGGACTTTCTTTTGCGGCGAACTGCTCCTGGATTCTTGTCGCCATTGCAACAAACTTTGTGCGAACTGCGAGGAAGATATAGGTCAAAAAAAGCCGCTAAGAACTGTTGCGTTGGTGGAGTAAACAGCGTCTGTGCGTCTTGCGTCTGTGGACTGCGTGACAGGCGTACGTAAACCACGTACCGGCGGCGCAGGCAAGTCAGTTACGCTAGAAACGTAGGGAGTTTGATTGACAGCCTGTCAGCTCACAGATAACGAGGCAGTGTCGTTATCTATTGGCAAATGTTTAGCCCCACCACGTCCAGAGTTGATGAATTTTTATTCTCTTTTTTTTGGTCATCATAATTACAAGGCTACTGCACCTCTATAATGCTATCATTGACAATTTGAAACAAAAAAAAATCCTCCATACAACCTTTAACTGTTCTGTTTTTGGTTTTTTTTTGTTTTTTTTTCAATCACACTGCACTTCAATGGAGCAGAGATTGTCATAATTCAAATGTGAGAAATTGCACAGCTCAAATTCAGAGAAATATACAAGAATATCAAGAATAAAATACAGTAATCTCAAAATTGCAGGTACAAGAGGTATAATATTGTGAACTTAAATAACATATGCAGAGAGAGAGAAAGAGAGATGGATGGAGGAGGAAACAGCGCTGAAGTAAAAACTACTACAACGATTTAGTATGTCGTAGGGGCTGTCATCGGTCATCACCAAAGTCTGGTTAAGCTAAAATACAGAATTTCTCACAAGTACGGTTTCCCTGCTTCAACAAAAACAAAACTCAGCAATTCTGTTCTTTGTTTTAACTTTCATTTTTCTTTTTATTAAATTACTTTATCAGGTATTTTCGAGTTTGTCTTAAAAACTAAAATCCCACCTGGGAAATTGGGGTCATTATTGAACAACAAAGAGGTGCCAAGCAATGAATGTTTGTTT